GAGCTGCTAAACTGGAGTTACATATACAGCATGTCGTAATATCAAGATCACATTATGTGACGTTCTACTTGGAATTATGCATTACGGAAATACTACAAATGGATCTGCAGAGTTCAGCTGGTACAGTGGTCATGCTCACAGAAAATATGCAGTTTACAAGATATATTTATGAGCTGTATAAGGAAGCGAATGCTTTTTATTAGTCAGAATTGTTTTCATTTTAGTATTTAACAGACGCTTTTATCCAAAGCAACTCACAGCTGTGAACACAAAACCAAAGCAGTGCCTTGCTCATGAGCTTCACCTCTGACAGGGTGAGGGTGTAAGAGAGTTCTGGTTGTTCCGCCATTTTAAAAGCGAAATCGAGGCTGCGGTGGAACTGGGAAGAACCCCGGAAGTATCGCCTGAAGTCACACAGGAATGTTATGTATCTGGCTGTATACTTTATAAGCAAAGAGAAAGTGACACAATTTTATAATTTCACCGCCTTCCGAGTGACCCTAAGGTTCGTTCAGAATCGATAGTGAAAATAAAAAGGGATATCAGACCTTATTTTCAGCTAAGATAAGGGAAATGGCACTAGTTATCTAATGTTTTTTTTTCCCAAACACACGATTTAGATGCCATTTATCAAACTCAAGGTAATAAACTGATTTTTTTCCACATTAGACTTGTCCCAATACTTAATTTCGCAACTAATTAGAACTGAAAATAAAACAAATGTCCATTGTAACATTTAAGCACTGTTTGGCTCGTTCTTAAACAGCACTGATTTGCCATAGTATTCACCGGTGCTCAACAGAAATGACTGTGATTAGCCGTGAAGGTTATCAGTTCACAACAGTATTACAGACAACATGAGGGTGTGCTACAGAGGACTGCATTGTTTTATTGCTCACCAGGGGTTCGTTTTTCATACATGGATTACTCAATTAGCTGGATTTGGATGTTGACGATTTGACACGATCCAGGATCGTTTCGTTCTTCAAAACTCATCTGAGACTTGCTCATGTATTAAACTATATATAAAAGTAAAAAATATATAAATAAAACTTATGCAATCTGCACTTCAAAATAAAAGTGAAAGATTGCTGGTTCAAAGAGAAAATGTATTGATAAGAAATTTTTTGATGCAAACGTGTACATGCACAATAATCGACTTTTAAAAAAACAAAAAAGATAATAATTTATGCAATCATGCACGTGTTTTGATCACTAACATGCCGGTGATTGACACGTTTACCTATATCAAAATGCTTTTTTGATGCAAAATAATTTATAGTTATTCCTCACGCAGATTAAAAAACTTGAGTAGGCCTAGGCTACTATAATAAAGAAAATCTTATCTAAATGTAGAACTAAATACATTGATATGCATTGAAGTACATGATGAATACTCTTGACACATGAAAGTGTAAAGTCTGCAGCTCACAACAAATGAGTAAAGTTATTGCGTGTCATATTACATAAACCGTTTACTGCTAATTTTATGCAATTTTGCTTACATGGATAATTTAATATTAATCAGATGATGTCATTACGTTACTGTGCCGTCAGCCAATCGTTACATTGCTGATCATGATGTCGAGGATCGATAGATCAGTCCTTCACAACACACGCAGCGATCTCAGATCAGTTTATCCAGACATTTTAATCTGATTCCTGAACTTGTTTGAAGAACCAAATTAGCCAGAGATCAGTTATCAAGATTAGAAGATCCAGGATCTGCCAAATCATCTTAGATCATTTAAGCGAGGTACGAAGAACAGACCCCAGGTTACATAGGCTGAAGCAGAAAAGCGTCTTCACTTTGTTTACCTAGTCCTATGAACTCAAGCTTATGAGGACACTTAGGACTATTAGTCATACTCCCAGTTCCACAGACAAGGCTTAAGACTAGTCCTAGACTAAAATGTAAGTCTGAGCTGTTTCAACTAAAATAAAATTGCACCGATTGATTTTTAAATATATCAGTGCCTTTGTTTTGTTTCAAGATACACACCAGTAATGTTTTTTTTTTTTTACAAAGTATGTTTATAAAAATTACCTAAATGTCCTAATTGAACTATGGCCTAATCCTGGCTAGTCTAAGCCCTGTCTGTGAAACCAAGCCTTAAAAGAGTTCATTGTGATTTAGTTTGTTGCCTAATATGATTTTAATTGTTGAAATTAAACTGAACTGAATGATATGAATGTGATGTTTACACCATATCTGCATTTTAAAATTGCAGCAACAGGAGGTTTGTAGTCCACAGCATGTTATTGCAATGTTTACAGAGCTGAATGGTGGCCGCATGAAGTAAGCATATTAAACCTCTCTAACCATTAGGCCAAAGCTGCCCCATTTATGTCCATTCTGATATGGTGTGAACACAGAATTTATTAAGCATTGACAGTTTTATAGAAACACACAAATCCAAGTTTGGGAATTGTTCATAGAACATAATGCGCTGTCGCAAAATGATTATAAGTAGTCATGACATGAACGCAGCAAAAGTTCTACTTGTAGTATGGCAGAATAGTCCCATCTTCTAAATAAAAGGTCCATTCACTATATGGTGAAGGCATTGACGCTGGAATCTCATAATTAATGTAACCTTGATAAGGGTGAACACACCTTTAACACTAAAAATATGGTGTTGATCTAGTGTGGAAAAAAGTTTCCTCATTCAGAGATAGGAGCTTGCGTGACTGAAACATTGAAATATATTAATGTCCAAAGTTTTCTACTGAGAAAAACTATTTGCTTCATCTGACATATTGCAACCATATATTGCATAAGAATATGCTATTTTTGCAGCCCCTTACCAAAATTAACATTGTTTAGTGCAAAATTAGTGTGGTAATGTTTCTGGTGAAGTGATTAGCACATATATCAGTTTGAGATTGCAATGGTTATAACTACAATATGTTTTTTTACATTTATTTATCAAATATGGTTAATAAATTGTCATGGGGACGAATTTGCTCATGATAGCTTAATACTAAACCCCAACGCAACATGACAAAGACGGTTATACAACTTGACCATAATAGCGTGTTAACTGTGGCACTCATTTTGAGCAAAGTAAATAGAAAAGTTTGGACTTCACCATGTTCAAAATACGGTGAATAAGATAGTAAAAGGCCAACAAAAAAGCAGGGACGCGATAACTGATAAAATCACAGGTGGTTTTCCTGTGACTCAAACTCAGAAAATAAATGCTAAGTGTGTGGGCGCTGTAAACAGGTGCGCATTTGAAGACGACACACGTGGACGTGAAGCAGAAACGCAATGTTACATTAGAGAATGAGACAGATATAAGCAACACTTTAAATACCTGATCAACATATAAAAACGCAGTGCCTTTATGAAATTCCTCATGTGGTCCAGTGGATTCTATCATGGTGTGCTTCACCTGCATGTGCGCAGTGGGAGGAGCGAAGAAAGCGAATCTGCAGGCGGCAAACGCGCCGCTGCTCATTAGAAAACATGACCATACCTCAGTGCAGAAGCAGCGGCCAGCAGAGGGAGATCTACCGCCACCCACCGGTCAACCAGTAGCATTGCACAAAACCGGGAAATAAGTGTTTTCACATTTACTATCAACATTTATGAAAAAAGTAAAAAAATAAATTAAATAATATTAAATTGGTTTATCTTGACGGTATTGTTGCCTTTTAGACAATATAACAACAGATAATTTACCTCAACTTTTGATGCTCCGAAGTGCTCCACCTCCCATTATTTGATAGCTTGATAGTAGTTTTAAGTTTAGCTTTTCTTTCTTCTATTTTTAGGGTCTTAAAATGTATATTATCCTACTGTGTTATCCATAGTTAACAGTAAGAGTATGGTCACTGCATTTGACTTAAGTGACTGTTAATTGATGAGCGAGAAATAAATACAATGGAGCTTCAAAATAGACTAACAACAACAGGCATGACAGTGAAATTTCTAAATATAAGGTAGAAAAAATTATATTTTGTAAAATTTCAAGTGACAAAAAATCTCAAGACAATTAACAGTCACTTAAGTCAAATGCAGTGACCATACTCTTACTGTTAACTGGATAACACAGTAAATACACAAACACGCATATATAAATACAAACAGTTGAAGTCAGAATTATTAGCCCTCCTTTGAGTTTTTTTCTTTTTTAAATATTTCCCAAATTATGTTTAACAGAACAAGGAAAAGTTCACAGTATGTCTGATATTTTTCCAAAGTCTTGTTTGTTTTATTTCAGCTAGAATAAAAGCAGTTTTTAATTTTTTAAAGAACCATTTTAAGGTCAAAATTATTATTCCCTTTAAGCTATATTTTTTCCCAATAGTCCACAGAACCATCATTATACCATAACCATAATCTAGTTAAGCTAGTATACAAATTCTTCTATACTAGCTTCTATATAGAAGTATAGAACCTTAAGATGTATAGAAGTGTCTTGAAAAATATAAAGTAAAATATTATTTACTGTCATCCTGGCAAAGATAAAAGATATCAGTTTTAAAAACTATTATATTTAAAAATGTGTTAGAAAAAATCTTCTCTACATTAAACAGGGGGGGGGGGGGGGGGGGCTAATAATTGAGTGGGTTTAATAATTCTGACTTCAACTGTGTGTGTGTTCATGTTTGTCTACACATAAAAAATATTTGTTGTTTGTTCAAAGCAATTATTAAAAATGAGCTGAAACCGCACAATCATTCATTGTTTTATGTTCAATCCACTTAAATTTGAAAATCTAATAAGTTACCTTAATTCCTTCTTGTTGTCCCAACTTAACTCGATTGTGTGAAACTTTGCATTTTTACAGTGAATGCATTTTTGCATTTTTTATTTATTTTATTAAACTAAGTAAAATATTTTTCTTGGCAAGTAGATAAAATACATTTCCATATATGTTCTTAGGTTTTCCAGTTAAAGTAAAATTGTTGTTTTTACGGTTAACTATAATAAGCCTGATTACATAGAAAATTTGAAAACACAATCAATAAGAAATCACTGATTCTCAGCACTTTTTTGACAGGTAAATTCATTTATATATGTGAACATGACAAAAAAAAAACGATTAAAACATTTCAAGTTCTTTTAGTAATCTACTCATTTCGACTACTTTTCTTTTTCTTCTTCTTCGTTTTCCCCGGGGTAACTTCAGTGTCATCGTAAGAAGGATCCAGCTGCTCAGTTTTTAAAAATAAACTTGCATCAACCATATCTGGATTCTCTCTTTCCTTTTCTTTCTTCACCTTTTTCTTTTTTCTTCTCCTTTCCTCCATCGGCTCTTCCTCCATAAGTTCAGATATCTCTAACTGATTACATTCAATTTGTGTTTCTTCTTGCTTAATAAAAACATCTCCACTGTCCCCCTGACTCTTGTCTTTCTTTTTCTTCTTCTTCTTTTTTGGCTCATCTCCATCACCCACATCCTGTCTTGTTTTCTGGAGTGGAGTTGGAGAAGCAAAAGTGGCTTCTTTTTGCATGCGAGCTCCAGTTGAACTACCGAAAGGATGGAAACGCTGTTTGAGGCCGTCTGGGATGCGTGGAGCTGGAGCGGCTGGTACAGGAATCGGGCCCTGGGTTTCACCACAGTCTCCATAGCTCTCGGAGATCTTCAGGACACCGCTGAAGCCGGTGGAGCAGAGAGAAAGCTTCTGATTTTCACCTTTGGAAATGAGAAGATTGAGGTCTGATGGCGTCGTCCCACCACTGACAACACTGTAGATTTGTGGGCTGTTACCCTTAGACTGGACCATTCCCAGTCCTGATAAAGGAAGTTGGAGGTTATTAAAGCTGTGGAGGATATAACACAGTAATTAGAAGAAAAATAACATCTTATAACATATATATATATATATATATATATATATATATATATATATATATTAGGGATGTGCGGAGCAGCCGGTATTTGTATTTGTATTTGTTGAGGGGGGAAAAGTATTTGTATTTGTATTTGTATTCGAGTAAAATTCAAAATGGCGCAAAAATATATATTTTTTCTATTGCACTTCTAATTTACGTTATAGTGAAAGTATTGTTTAATTATACCCATTATATAAATTATAGACATGCAATATTGGCTGTTGTTTTTGAACATGTGATAAGAAATGTCATTGAAAAGAAAATAACATAGAAGCCATTATCTCATCCATAGTTAAACCAACAACTAATAAAATACCATTGTGAATATTATGAACCCCACCACCACTGTTCTTGTTGAAGGACACTGAATAGACAGAATAAAAACAAATAATACTTCAAAAAACTGTTCTTCTTCTGAAAGAACTTCTTTCCAATAGACATAATTCCAAAAACTAATATTAACTAAATAAATCTAAATAAACCCTGCCTGGGAGATCTGGCAGAACAAAAGTATTCTATATAATACTAAAAGATACAGCCCTGCTATTGTCATCTGCCAGCCACAAAACAGACACAAAGTTTGTTTGTTTGTTTATTTAAATATCTGCAAATATTTTTCAATGGAAGTCAATGGAGGAATATGACTAGTCAGTCATAATATATTTGCAGATATTTCCAATCTGACTAGTCGAATTATAATTATGACAAGTCAAAATATAATTAGAGATATCTCTAAATATATTTATGGATAGTCTGAACAAGGTTTAAATGCTAAAACAGCTTGCCATACGCTATCACCCAGTAGCACAGTGGAGATTTCTCTAGTTATATCCTTTCAGTCGTTTGTTATGCAGTGACATGCAGTCAAATATTTCGCCAAACAGTCCTTAGGGATGCGGTGACACGCAGTCAGATATTTTACCGGACAGATCCGCCACTTTTGGCGCGCATAAACAATCATAAAGCTCTCGTGCTGCAGGAATGAGGAGGTCTGCTGAAGGCGCGCAACTGACGTGCAGTGAGAGGTTTGCGTCTTTAATAAACTACAGCAGTTTGCGTTCACTGAACAGTAAGAATGGTTAATAAATCCATATGAAACAACCCCTTAAAAGTCACGTCTCGCTTTCAGTTTCGGGCTTTGGCGCGTTTTGCACTGAGCGTGTGTGTGTGTGTGTGTCTCTCTCTCTCTCTCTCTCTCTCTCTCTCTCTCTCTCTCTCTCTCTCTCTCTCTCTCTCTCTCTCTCTCTCTCTCTCTCTCTCTCTCTTACTCACGCGGGCATGCACTGTGGTCTCATGAGGAAACGCTATGAGGAAACGCTGCTTTTTGATATAGTGTTTTTCTTGCTCCCGAATACAAATAATTTTTCAAGTATTTGTTCGAATGAAGTATTCGTAAAAACACGCTATTCGTGCCTTTCCGAATACCGTATTCGGGTTCGGCTCCACCCTTAATATATATATATATATATATATATATATACACACACACACACACACACGCACAAACACAAATTTTCTAGTTTTATCTAGCCTAAAAAACATTTTTCAGAATAACACAAAATATTATAATAAATAATATTCAAATATTTATTTTATTAACAATTTATTTTTTAGTAATAATTAATATTATTTAATCTAATGCAATATAACAATAATATCATATAAATATTTTATTGGTGTTATAAAGCTGACTGATCTCATCAGGATTGCTTCTAAATAACCATAATCTTCTTATTAAATCAATGTATGTATTATGAGTATTTTTCAATACCAATAACTAAACACTATTAAAACTGTTTAAAATTATGCAAATTACATTATTTCTTAATTTTCTTTCAATTGTACAATTATTATTACCATTATTATTGTTTTTTAAAGCACCTGCTAAATAAAATGTAATGGATTATATAATATTAGTGTAGAAATTGATACATATATATATATATATATTTTTTTGTATAATGTCCTTAAACTTACTGTACTAATAACAGTACATTACGTATAATAATTCATTATAATAATTTATCAATAATATATATATATGTATATATATATATATATATATATATATATATATATTCTTCAACCAAACCAAACAAATTTCTACCAGACTGTGAATATATATAATATGCAATTAATATTATATTATAATAATACTTACAAGCTAACAAATATAAGAATACTAACAGATGTAAAAACTATTAAATTATGATAATATTTATTTATTAAATTAATGAATAATAATGAAACCATTATGCAACAATAAAAACTTCATTACATAAACAATTTAAAGGCATAGTTCACCCAAATCTAAAAGTTCTGTCATCCTTTGCTTTCTTGTCATTAGTAAAACTTGCAACTATTGACATCCACAGTAATTGTATTTCTTGCAATGAAAGTCAATGGTTACAATTTTTAAACTTTCTTCAAACTATCCTCTTTAGTGTTCAAGGTAAATAAGAAAAGCTTAAGTAGTTTATAACTATTTTAGGGGTACATTTTCAGTTTTGAGTGAACTACACCTTTAACATCATAAATTAAGGTAATCATAAATTAACACTTTACAATAACAGTACATGAGTAATGATGTATTAACATGTAAACTAAACATTACTACATTATGAATTAATGATTAGTTTAGGTGTGCACTAATCATCAACTAACTTTAATTACAACATGAGTTACATGAATTCATATGTGAATATTGAATATCTTAATTACTAGTTAGTACATGTTGTTAAATAATGCATTAATTAACATTGAAGTTTAAGCTAAATATCACCAACATGAGCTGTTAATGTATAACTATGTCATGACTTTACTTGGAGGGACACATCACCGTTACCTCATCCTTAACTACTCATGAACTCCTGTGTTTAAACTGTTGATGTTAACAGAACACATTTCCATTGTTATTTAGTGTAAACACAATAGTTGAATGTGCATAAGGAGTTCATGAGTAGTTAAAAGTGCAGTAGGTGATTGTCTTCAGAAACATGTTTTGTTATGCTGGTTGAAAGTCTCTTTACAGTCCAATACAGTACTGATTAAAGTAAATTATCTAAATGTGTTTATATGTATTTTTTTATTCTGAGTAAGGCATAAAACTAAAAAATGTTCATCAAATTAAGTATTGTCGGGATGACAACTCCTGCAACTCCGATAAGCAGCTCAGACTGTCTGTCAGCAAATGTAGATTCAAACTTTTGCGCATCTGTTCACGCAGATACCCCATTCAAGCCTGCCCGCCTGCATAAGCACTACGCGTTCACGACACAATCATAGACAAGGTGAAATCAAATGCTAAATTGAAACTTTTGAAAATCCTGAATTAATATTGGAGTTACTTTAGCACCCTGGAAGAAGGACGACAACACCTTGGCTGAAGTATTACTGTTAGACAGGTAATGTTCTGTTTTAAAACTATTTTAGTCAGGCTAAGCTTATGTTATATTGTGTTGTGTTATGAATGGCTTATGTGCACAAACGTATTGTTCAGCCACTGAAATCTCCCGGTGAAAGATTGATGTGATTATTGTCAAGTCGTTTTGAAAATTATTTTCAAGTCATTTTACAGCATCGATAATGTAGATTTATATTTAGTTTAACAACAAAACACCATTAAATAAAGCTGTTCCGCCTAACCTGCTTTATGGAGTGGAAGTTGCTTTTATATTCACATTGGTTCCTTTTTTAACAAAGACAGCCTTCCTATACTGTTTACCATGCTACTCTGAATATTTGCTCTGAAATAGCATGTAAGTGTGGCTTAATAATAAATGTAATTCCGGCACAGCGCTGGCCAAACACTAACTAACTGGCGAATGACATGAACTAGTGGGTTGTTTGTCTGCTGTTGTGACGCGGTGTGCGCGCTCGCAATTTCAGGAGGTGTGGCTTTGAATCACTGTCCCTCCCCGCCGTCCAAAGATAATATCCTAAGCGGTTAGCATTTTGGCAGATCACCTACTGCACCTTTAAGAATGGGTTAATGGTGATGTGCCCCTCCAAGTAAAGTCATGATATATTTATACATTAACATATCATGAGTTCATGATGGCTAAATTAAGCATGCACTAATGTGGTAATTAATACATTAAGTACAATAAAAACTTGTACTAACAAGTAATTAAGTTAGTCAATATTCACAAATGAACTCATTTGACTCATGTTGTAGTTAAAGTTAGTTCATGATTAGCGCTTGCATTAACTCATCATTAGCTCATGATAAAGTTTAGTTTGCATATTAACACACATCACTATTCATGTACTGTTGTTGTAAAGTGTTACCTAAATTAAAACTATTAAAGAATATTAAATTATTCTTACACACGAACTATTTAGTTTAACCGACTGTCAAGCATGTTGCTTATATTCAGTTAACAAAGTTATTTGCTAGGTATTTTGTACCATTTAGGATCAAAACGAGCTGGAGCTTTGATGAACCATAACTGCTGTTTCTCTTCACCCAATAATGCATTTACAGAGGAATCATACGGAAAGGATATAAACTCGGCCGGACACTGGTACTTTGAATCTGTAAAAAAACATATACACAAAGTTACACAAAATCTAGGTATTTCACAAATGCGAACTCACTGTAGTGGTGAAGAGACTAAACACAGTTGGTCCGTGTATCATCCGTTCATTTGATTATTCCTTTTATTACGGAAAACGAAACATCAGAAAAACGATGAATATTTCGTTTTTCTGTTTATTCTGTAGGCAGAAAAAACGGAAACTCATCTGTTATTCTGCTTATTAACTTAAAACGAAATATTAAAACAAACACAAAACCAAAACGAAATAATGAGTCAAAAAATGGTCCGTGTACGGTCCGTGTACGTTTTGTTCATTTGTTTTCCATTTTCAAACGAGATAAAGGAAATGGAGAAAACGGCCGTTTTTCTTTTGCTCACGAGAAAACGAAAAAACGAGATTTTGGCTGGATTTTTGTTTTTTGGTTTAGGGTAGAAAAACGGATAAACGACTTTAAAATTCATTTTACACATGTAGGCGGTGCTGAAACGCCCACTTTCCTCTAATTGGTCAACCAAATCTGCGCTCATGACGTCACCCTCAAAATAAAAGCCTTACACGCAGGCTTTTAATTATTATTATTTAATTATATATTAACTAAGTTTACATATTCTATCATTTGAACCACACACAGTTAGCAGGCTTACATTCATTGCGTATGTATAAATTAAATAAAAACGTAAAGCAGTATTCTTAGACATTTGTCATTAAAATAAGGTCATAGTTCACTGCCAAGCTTCTTGCTGCTGTGCACCTGATGCTGAGCAAAGAAAGCCATTTCCGAGCAGCACCTGGTTTACATGATTGTTTCAGAGCAAGGGCTTTATAATAATAATAATAATAATAATAATAATAATAATAATAATAATAATAATAATTATAATTATTATTATTATTATTATTATTATTATTATCAGTTGCTAGTGTTTTTATTGTTTGGTGTGTTTTTTTTCTGTTTAATAGTTGTTAGCAGAACCAGAATAAGAACACTTTGGGCCCTGCTATAAAAACAAAGGGTACCATTTGTTTTCATTTATTTCTTCCTATTTTAATTATATATTGTAATTATTTATTTGATAATTAATACTATTTTATTGCAACGCCAAAGTAGGCCTGTCCTATTATTTTTTTTATTATTAAATTTGCTGTTATTGTAGGCTAGATGGCAGGCTTTAAATATTTTAAATAACATTTACTCATAACCTTATTAATTCGAGAGCCGAACCTAAAAATGTTTAAGTGCAATAAGCCTGTACAATAAAGGGAGCCGCAATGCATATTTCTAGCGCATTCTTTCACTCAACAATTATTGCTGGAATAATGAAATAAATTTCAAATTAACTAATTAAACACATTATAGTTGATAAAAAAATTGTGTCTAGTAGTTCCGACAAACAGATGAGCTCGCTACATGTGCGTTGCGCTAATAATTTGACATTTGCTCTTCTTGAGAAAGTGCTACAGCGGGCCCTGCTATTTCACATATAAGGTTAGTGATACATATTTTAAATTAGTATTGCACATTATTCATTCATTTTCTTGTCGGCTTAGTCCCTTTATTAATCTGGGGTCGCCACAGCGGAATGAACCGCCAACTTATTTAGCAAGTTTTTACGCAGCGGATGCCCTTCCAGCCACAACCCATCTCTGGGAAACATCCACACATACATACACACACTTATACAGTACGGACAATTTAGCCTACCCGATTCACCTGTACCGCATGTCTTTGGACTGTGGGGAAAACCGGAGCACCCGGAGGAAACCCACGCGAACGCACTACACTACTGAATTAGACACACAATCTCAAAAAAAAACTTGATGCTTATTTACATTATCTAAAGTCATTTCTTACGAGGTAGGATCTGTTGTTGTATTATATTTTTTCGTTTTAATATGCAAATTATTTTCGTTAATTTGTAATAGGCCTATTGTCCCTCATTGCATAAAATAACCAGCCTTTGTATTCAATATGTTTGTAAATTGTCCATCCAGTTTGAAGCAAGCTAAACAACATTTTGGCCTGTTTTGCTTATTAAATGAGTGATTTTCACAGAGAAACAAATCATCCATTCACACAGTTTTGTATAGGACCTGTGTGAACAAAAATATACACTTCATCATAGCCTATAGAAAATGTATCTGTTTAGAACCAATTTTGTGTTGTATAATTAAAAATATTAAAAATGCAATAAAAAAAAAAAAGGAATAACATTTAAAGTGCAATGCTTCAAAGATCCAATACGCTGCATGCAGAGCCAAAACAAAAACTGGTTTGTTTGTTTAATAAAATAATAATATGAAATTAAAGTGAAATAGTTCCATAACCTGTATTATAACTGTAGTCACTCTAGATGACAAATCATCCGTTGTGCCGGTCAGTTTCACCTTTAATCAAGAATGTGCCAGAACCAAATGAGAATATTTACAGATTACCTCGGAATGAGACCTCGGTCTGTGAAGGATGCAGAACACAGAAACTCGTTAAGAATGGAGATGCATGTTAGATGTTTTATATCTCTTTAGATATTGTAAATAAACAACAAGTTTTTATAGAGATTGTGTCATGTCTTTTCTTTGACGCACGCGCTGAACAGCCCCGAAAAGGCGCCTTTATTTAGCCTGTAGCCTAAATAATAGTTTAGATTTTATAACATATAATGTTCCATTACTTTAAATGTATAGTGTTTTTTAATATTTATGGATTATATAAAATATATAGTTTATATAAATGCGCTCTGATCATTCAAGGATCATAATGCGTTGCATATTCTTCTTATTCTTCATTAGGCTTGATCCGTAAATTGTGTATTTTATAAACTGATCGTTTATAAGGACTAAGCTATTAATAACTGTAATTCCTGAATGGAAAAATCTTGATTAAAGAAAAAGAGAACTTAATTCGACATATGCTCATAGTGCGCTTATTTCTGCGCGCATCGCGCGCTTTACCGAATTATCTTTTTTTTTTATGCACTATAAATGCATCTGGCAGCACCGAAAAGAGCAAATGTCAAGTTATTAGCGCAGCGCACAGACAGCTAGCTCGTCTAGTCTGAACCAGGGGTTTTCAAACTATTCATTGCACACCGATCCCATTGCATTTTATTTAGGATAAACCACTTATTTAAAATTAATTAATTAAAAGGTGCGTACTCTCCAATACACCACTGAATTATAGTGTCATAATATTTAATAATTATAATTAAGATAGACACCTGACCTCCATTTAATAAACAATTTATTTGCCATACTCTGTTAATTTGAAGTTTAAAGTTTAAATCATTTATGTTAAACTTAAATTATTTAAAAAGTTAAAAAGACTTAAATTTAGTCATTTAAGACATTTTAGGTCATAAGTTTACATACATTGACCGTTGCATTTAGTAGGCCTATTCTGGTCTAAATAAGCTTTTTGCATCTTAGGTGTTTACACACACAAATTAAGCAGTTTATACGTACATTTAATGTTACTTTGAAATTACTTTTGATGAAATAAATAATCCTAAATAGTTGAAAGTGTTAACATATTCTTGAAATGTAGTTATTTTATAACTATGAAATTTATTACTAAACAAAGTGAATCATTATGAATTTGCCAAGAAATAATCCACTTTACCACTGTAAAGCAATGCCCCGCACTCACTAGAACGGTAGAACCTGGACTGTATGATATGTTCTGTATGTAAAATAGAGAAAATAAGCAAGATGCGCAGTCTCATGCAGCCTTAGTGAAATATATCGCGTCACAATGAACTAAAAATAAAACCACCCTTGAAATGCTGGCGATCTTAATTTTTTCAGCCTACACTGACTGAGAATAATGTTGCACTATTTTATTAACAAATAATTATAATGTTTTTTTTTTCCTTCAACACATTCATCATTACTTTTGCCTGTGCAAGTTTTTTTGCGCGTGCTTGAGCGCGAAGGCATCTATTTTCAGGTGCAAGATGCCACTTTGGGTGGCACCAGCACACTCTGCCACACCTGTGGCTATGTCCCTGCTACAATAATAATAACAACAACGACAAAATAATAACAAAAAATAATAATAATAAGACAGGCCTACTTTGACGTAGAAATAAAAAAGTATTAATTATCAAATAAATATTTACAATAGGCTAAAGGCATATATTAAATTAAAATAGGAGAAAATCCAATAGAAACAAATGGTACCATTTATTATAGCCCCATGCAGGGTCCAATGTGTTCTTACAACCATTGAATAACTAAGTAAATAATAATAATAACAATACTAATAATAATAGGCCTAATAATAATAATAATAATAATAATAATAATAATAATAATAATAATAATAATAAATTATTATTTTATACAGAGTAGGCTATTATTTAGGCCTACAATAGCTCTGAAACAATCATGTAAACCAGGTGCTGCTCGGAAATGGCTTTCTTTGCTCAGCATCAGGTGCACAGCAGCAAGAAGCTTGGCAGTGAACTATGACCTTATTTTAATGACAAATGTCTAAGAATACTGCTTTACGTTTTTATTTAATTTATACATACGCAATGAATGTAAGCCTGCTAACTGTGTGTGGTTCAAATGATAGAATATGTAAACTTAGTTAATATATAATTAAATAATAATAATTAAAAGCCTGCGTGTAAGGCTTTTATTTTGAGGGTGACGTCATGAGCGCAGATTTGGTTGACCAATTAGAGGAAAGTGGGCGTTTCAGCACCGCCTACATGTGTAAAATGAATTTTAAAGTCGTTTATCCGTTTTTCTACCCTAAACCAAAAAACAAAAATCCAGCCAAAATCTCGTTTTTTCGTTTTCTCGTGAGCAAAAGAAAAACGGCCGTTTTCTCCATTTCCTTTATCTCGTTTGAAAATGGAAAACAAATGAACAAAACGTACACGGACCGTACACGGACCATTTTTTGACTCATTATTTCGTTTTGGTTTTGTGTTTGTTTTAATATTTCGTTTTAAGTTAATAAGCAGAATAACAGATGAGTTTCCGTTTTTTCTGCCTACAGAATAAACAGAAAAACGAAATATTCATCGTTTTTCTGATGTTTCGTTTTCCGTAATAAAAGGAATAATCAAATGAACGGATGATACACGGTCCGTGTATGTTTTGTTCATTTGTTTTCCATTTTCAAATGGAATAAAGGAAATGGAGAAAACGGCCGTTTTTCCGTTTTTCTTTTGCTCACGAGAAAACGAAAAAACGAGATTTTGGCTGGATATTCGTTTTTTGGTTTAGGGTAGGAAAACGGATAAACGACTTTAAAATTCATTTTACACATGTAGGCGGTGCTGAAACGCCCACTTTCCTCTAATTGGTCAACCAAATCTGCGCTCGTGACGTCACCCTCAAAATAAAAGCCTTACACGCAGGCTTTTAATTATTATTATTTAATTATATATTAACTAAGTTTACATATTCTATCATTTGAACCACACACAGTTAGCAGGCTTACATTCATTCCGTATGTATGAATTAAATAAAAACGTAAAGCAGTATTCTTAGACATTGGTCATTAAAATAAGGTCATAGTTCACTGCCAAGCTTCTTGCTGCTGTGCACCTGATGCAGAGCAAAGAAAGCCATTTCCGAGGAGCACCTGGTTTGCATGATTGTTTCAGAGCAAGGGGTTTATAATAATAATAATAATAATAATAATAATAATAATAATAATTATTATTATTATTATTATTATTATTATTATTATCAGTTACTAGTGTTTTTATTGTTTGGTGTGTTTTTTTTTTCTTCTTTTTAATAGTTGTTAGCAGAACCAGAATAAGAACACTTTGGGCCCTGATATAAAAGCAAAGGGTACCATTTGTTTTCATTTATTTCTTCCTATTTTAATTATATATTGTAATTATTTATTTGATAATTAATACTATTTTATTGCAACGCCAATGTAGGCCTGTCTTATTATTTTTTTATTATTAAATTTGCTGTTATTGTAGGCTAGATGGCAGGCTTTAAATATTTTAAATAACATTTACTCATAACCTTACTAATTCGATAGCCGAACCTAAAAAAGTTTAAGTGCAATAAGCCTGATGTACAATAAAGAGAGCCGCAATGCATATTTCTAGCGCATTCTTTCACTCAACTTATTGCTGGAATAATGAAATAAATTTCAAATTAACTAATTAAACACATTATAGTTGATAAAAAATTGTGTCTACTAGTTCCTACAAACAGATGAGCTCGCTACATGTGCGTTGCGCTAATAATTTGACATTTGCTCTTCTTGAGAAAGTGCGGATGCCCTTCCAGCCACAACCCATCTCTGGGAAACATCCACACATACACACACACTTATACAGTACGGACAATTTAGCCTACCCAATTCATCTGTACCGCATGTCTTTGGACTGTGGGGAAAACCGGAGCACGCGGAGGAAACCCACGCGAACGCACTGCACTACTGAATTAGACACACAATCTCAAAAAAAAACTTGATGCTTATTTACATTATCTAAAGTCATTTCTTACGAGGTAGGATCTGTTGTTGTAATATATATTTTCGTTTTAATGTGCAAATAATTTTCTTTAATTTGTAATAGGCCTATTGTCCCTCATTGCATAAAATAACCAGCCTTTGTATTCAATATGTTTGTAAATTGTCCATCCAGTTTGACGCAAGCTAAACAACATTTTGGCCTGTTTTGCTTATTAAATGAGTGATTTTCACGGAGAAACAAATCATCCATCCACACAGTTTTGTATAGGACCTGTGTGAACAAAAATATACACTTCATCATAGCCTATAGGAAAATGTATCTGTTTAGAACCAATTTTTTGTGTTGTATAATTAAAAATATTAAAAATACAAAAAAAAAAAAAAGGAATAACATTTGAAGTGCAATGCTTCAAAGATCCAATACGCTGCATGCAGAGCCAAAACAAAAACTGATTTGTTTGTTTAATAAAATAATAATATGAAATTAAAGTGAAATAGTTCCATAACCTGTATTATAACTGTAGTCACCCTGGATGACAAATCATCCGTTGCGCCGGTCAGTTTCACCTTTAATCAAGAATGTGCCAGAACCAAATGAGAATATTTACAGATTACCTCGGAATGAGACCTCGGTCTGTGAAGGATGCAGAACACAGAAACTCGTTGAGAATGGAGATGCATGTTAGATGTTTTATATCCCTTTAGATATTGTAAATAAACAACAAGTTTTTCTAGAGATTGTGTCATGTCTTTTCTTTGACGCACGCGCTGAACAGCCCCGAAAAGGCGCCTTTATTTAGCCTGTAGCCTAAATAATAGTTTAGATTTTATAACATATAATGTTCCATTACTTTAAATGTATAATGTTTTTTAATATTTATGGAATATATAAAATATATAGTTTATATAAATGCGCTTTGATCATTCAAGGATCATAATGCGTTGCATATTCTTCTTATTCTTCATTAGGCTTGATCCGTAAATTGTGTATTTTATAAACTGCTCGTTTATAAGGACTAAGTTATTAATAAATGTAATTCCTCGAATGGAAAAGTCTTGATTAAAGAAAAAGAGAACTTAATTCGACATATGCATATAGTGCGCTTATTTCTGCACGCATCGCGCGCTTTACCGAATTACCTTTTTTATTTTTTATGCACTATAAATGCATCTGGCAGCACCGAAAAGAGCAAATGCCAAGTTATTAGCGCAGCGCACAGACAGCTAGCTCGTCTGTTAGTCTGAACCAGGGGTTTTCAAACTATTCATTGCACACCGATCCCATTGCATTTTATTTAGGATAAACCACTTAATTTAAAATTTATTAATTAAAAGGTGCGTACTCTCCAATACACCACTGAATTATAGTGTCATAATATTTAATAATTATAATTAAGATAGACACCTGACCTCCATTTAATAAACAATTTATTTGCCATACTCTGTTAATTTGAAGTTTAAAGTTTAAATCATTTATGTTAAACTTAAATTATTTAAAAACTTAAAAAGACTTAAATTTAGTCATTTAAGACATTTTAGGTCATAAGTTTGCATACATTGACCGTTGCATTTAGTAGGCCTATTCTGGTCTAAATAAGCTTTTTGCAGGTGTTTACACACACAAATTAAGCAGTTTATACATACATTTAATGTTACTTTGAAATTACTTTTGATGCAATAAATAATCCTAAATAGTTGAAAGTGTTAACATATTCATGAAATGTAGTTATTTTATAACTATGAAATTTATTACTAAACAAAGTGAATCATTATGAATTTGCCAAGAAATAATCCACTTTACCACTGTAAAGCAATGCCCCGCACTCACTAGAACGGTAGAACCTGGACTGTATGATATGTTCTTTATGTAAAATAGAGAAAATAAGCAAGATGCGCTTTCAGTCTCATGCAGCCTTAGTGAAATATAGCGCGTCACAGCAATGAACTAAAAATAAAACCACCCTTGAAATGCTGGCGATCTTAATTTTTTTCAGCCTACACTGACTGAGAATAATGTTGCACTATTTTATTAACAAATAATTAGAATGTTTTTTTTCCTTCAACACATTCATCATTACTTTTGCCTGTGCAAGTTTTTTGCGCGCGCTTGAGCGCGAAGGCATCTATTTTCAGGTGCAAGATGCCACTTTGGGTGGCACCAGCACACTCTGCCTCACCTGTGGCTATGTCCCTGCTACAATAATAATAACAACAATAATGACAAAATAATAATAATAATAATAAGACAGGCCTACTTTGACGTTGCAATAAAAAAGTATTAATTATCAAATAAATATTTACAATAGGCTAAAGGCATATATTAAATTAAAATAGGAGAAAATCCAATAGAAACAAATGGTACCATTTATTATAGCCCCATGCAGGGTCCAATGTGTTCTTACAACCATTGAATAACTAAGTAAATAATAATAATAACAATACTAATAATAATAGGCCTAATAACAACAATAATAATAATAATAATATTAATAATAATAATAATAAATTATTATTTTATACAGAGTAGGCTATTATTTAGGCCTACAATAGCTCTGAAACAATCATGTAAACCAGGTGCTCCTCGGCATCAGGTGCACAGCAGCAAGAAGCTTGGCAGTGAACTATGACCTTATTTTAATGACAAATGTCTAAGAAAACTGCTGATTTACGTTTTTATTTAATTTATACATACACAATGAATGTAAGCCTGCTAACTGTGTGTGGTTCAAATAATAGAATATGTAAACTTTGTTTATATATATAATTAAATAATAATAATTAAAAGCCTGCGTGTAAGGCTTTTATTTTGAGGGTGACGTCACGCGCGCAGATTTGGTTGACCAATTAGAGGAAAGTGGGCGTTTCAGCACCGCCTACATGTGTAAAATGAATTTTAAAGTCGTTTATCCGTTTTCCTACCCTAAACCAAAAAACGAAAATCCAGCCAAAATCTCGTTTTTTTGTTTTTTCGTGAGCAAAAGAAAAACGGAAAAACGGCCGTTTTCTCCATTTCCTTTATTCCGTTTGAAAATGGAAAACAAATGAACAAAACGTACACGGACCATACACGGACCACAGTTCAGCTACTTAGCACAAACCTCTTTTCCGTCCTCCTGAAGTCGGTTCACGAGTTTCTTCTTCACTGTCCGACATGTTTGAACTCTAGTTTTAACTATAAGAGTACGAATTAAATATTTCCATATTCCAGTGTCGCCAATATAATGCGCCGAACACAACTCTCCGTGTAAACATGTGAATCACATGTGGATAGAGGAAAATCAACTTCAACCCGGAAAGACTTCGTCACAGTCTTAGGCGAACATTCATGTAAGCGACAGCAGAGGGAGCACTTATACAGCTTTTTTATGGGCCTGGATAGAAATGAAAATATACAGTTGAAGTCAGAATTATTAGCCCCCGTTTGATTTTATCTTTTTTTTTTTTAATATTTCCCAAATTGTCTTTAACAGACTAAGGGAATTTTCGCAGTATGTCTGATAATATTTTTTTATTGTGAAGAAAGTCTTATTTGTTTTATTTCTGCTAGAATAAAAGCAGTTTTTCTTTTTTAAAACCTATTTTTAGATCAAAATTATTAGCCCCTTTAAGCTATTTTTTTTCCATAGTCGACAGAACAAACCATCGTTATACAGTAACTTGCTAATTGCCCTATCCTGCCTTAACCTTATTAGGTAAGCCCTAAAATGTCACTTTAAGCTGTATAGAAGTGTCTTAAAAATATCTAGTAAAATATTATTTACTGTCATCATGGCAAAGAGAAAAGAAATCAGTTATTAGAAATGAGTTATTAAAACTATTATGTTTAGAAATGTTTTGAAAAAATCTGCTAAATAGGGGGCTAATAATTCAGGGGGGCTAGTAATTCAACTGTACATGGTCTGGACAAGCTGTCACGTTTATGAAATTATGAATTAAATTATAGGTTGCATATGACTAAATGCAGTTTATATTGTTATTGAAATATTCTGACTTTATTTTTGAATTCTATTTTGTTGTCCATGTTTACATTTAGCCAATAAGCCTAAACACTCATTAAAATGATTTTGCTTCTTGTTTAAATTACTAACCTGTTAGCCAGCACTCAATTTTTGGGGATTTACACATACCTAGTTTTAAATAATACCAGTTCCCGACTCCAGTAAGCTACAAACACAAATTATGTATAATTGGAAAGAAGACACTTTGAGTTTTTCTGAAGGTGAAGTTACATGTTAAAAAATATAAAAAGTTCTACATTATGAAGACATAAGAAAAAAAATTGTATGTTAATAAATTTAATATTTGTTTTTCCATATACAAACACAGGAAAACATTAATGTAATGTCCTAGAAAAAAATAAGAGTTGAAAGCCAAGTGTCTCATGAGTTTATTTTTTAAATTTGATGAAGATAGCAGGCAAAATTAGATTTCTGTAAAAAGTTTTCTCGGACTATATAAGTGTCTTTCTTTCTTTCTTTCACCACCAGAGGCCCTTTCTCAAAAATGACCCTCTCTAAAACATTATAATGAGCTGAACTAACACATTTCCTTTTTTTTTTTGCGATAACTCAATTGTTTTATGTTAAATTCACTTACATTTGTGTTTAGATTATTTGTGTTGGGTCAACATGAGTGAATTGTGTGGAACCCTGCATTTTTTACAGTGTACTCCAATGAACAGTAAATGTTTTATTTATAACTATGTTGATGTGTGTGTCTGGCAACTGGATCTTTTTTACTGTGCAAAATTATGGAAATATTCTATGCTAATATGGGACATCTACCAGAAACATATATTATCTGTACCTGAAATAAATAAACATAAATGCAGTGAATACAACATATTTCACCCCAAAATTGTCTAAAATTGACTTTCTAAAATGATTTCTGTGAGTTGTTCTGTACAGGTCAGGAGTATGTCATTCATATGGTTCTCAAATTTTTTTTTCTTTATTAAAAACACTTTACAAATTTGTAAACCCATACTGTCCTTGTCCTCACCACTTGAACCTACAGCTTAAATAGTTTTGTTATGCTAAAACTGTTATTTAGAGAAATAAACTTTAGAAATAGTAAGTTTAAGTTGTTATCATTCACATCAATTGATTAAAAACATGAAATTATAAATATATTCTACAAATAAATACTGTTTGACAATTGTCCCTATATTTCTGTCTGCGTGCAATACACATTTAAGGCTATGACTCAGAGAAAGTGACATCATTTGATGGAGGAGAAGCTGAAAGTGATCAAGGATGCATTTGATCACTAAATTGTGATTTTAGGCTTGTTTTTGTATGATTTTTTGAGGACGACAGGCTTAGGTCAGGCCATGTCACATTTTATACATAAAAATAAGTTTCTGGCAGAATGTTCCATATATGTGCTATAGTTACCAAAAAAATAAATAAATAAAAAAACTAACTAACTAACTAACTAACTAACTAACTAACTAACTAACTAACTAACTAACTAACTAACTAACTAACTAACTAACTAACTAACTAACTAACTAACTAACGACACTGAAATTAAAAGCAAATTGAAATGAAATTAAATTTAGTGAAGTTCAACTTAATTTGTTTGTTTAATTTTAGCCCATTTAAATTGTTTGCCTCAAATTTAGTAAATAATAGTCAATTCCATGAATAACGTTTTTTTTGTGTGTATAACTAACTAACTAACTAACTAACTAACTAACTAACTAACTAACTAACTAACTAACTAACTAACTAACTAACTAACTAACTAACTAAATTAACAAACAAATAGTTTTGCAACACATTAATTAGCAATGCATTACTGAATTTAAAATAAACCTATTTTGTAAAAACAGACCCATAAATGCCATTTATAGTCACTAAGAAATTGATAACAATTAAAATAATGATAATATTAATAATAATTATTAAGAAGAATCAACATAAAAAATCAATCATACAAGCTATTTAAAATTAGATAATGTATGAAATATAAAAGGCATGCTTTTCTTCAACTTAGAAACCTCTATATTCTAATCAAGCTATCAGTCTATTTTGTTATAAAGCATGGGCTTGGTATTCTCTTACCCTTCTGCGTTTATTTTTCCAAGTTCATCTCAGGTTCAATCCTGTGGGAAAGCTAGTGGTGCAGTCGAGCACAGCAGATGCATTTTGTAATCTGAGATTTTCCTCATGAAGACTCGAAGCTCCTCCAGCGAGATCCAGTCAACAAGATCCTCACAACAACTGCACATACAGCAGGTCACTGAGCAGGTCGTAGAGTCCATATACGAGGCCAAGACTGGATCCGTAAAATGAGTTGGTGTTGTAATGTGAGTTTTGGCTGGACAGACCAGATCATGTTTTTCAGGTTTAATTTTAGAGCACATAAAAAAAAGTTAATAAAGGAATGCTGAGTAAAAAATGCAGATAAACAAATTAGGAGTCACACACACACACACACACACTTATGTGCTCTGTAAAACCCAAAATGTTAAGGTAACTCAAACCATTTGAGGAAACCGATTGCAACAAACTATTTAAGTTTGTTAAAGCCAATCCTAATGAGTACTGTGAACCTAATCCATTTGAACAAAGCAATTTTAGCACAGCAAACCCAATAAATGAAGAGAACTCAAACCAATTGAGTACTGTAAAACTCAATAAATTAAGGCAACTCAAACTATTTGATTAAACCGATTGCTACAAACCATTTGAGTTAAAAAAGCGAGTCTATATAAGTACTTTAAACTTACTCTATTTAAGTTGAAGTAATGAGGTATTTAATTAACCCATTACCTTCGACACTGAGTTCAAAACTCTTTTCAAATGATTAGAATCAACTTTCAGTTAATTTTGAGTAAACTACACTCATTTCATTTGATAAAGTTAACTGTTAGATTTTACAGTGTGTTATGTTAGATTATATTATCATTTAACCCAACAGTTAATAAACATATTTGACCTAAAATAGGATAAAACACCCCAACATTTTTAGACTTTAAATTTTCTTGATTCATTGATGAATAAAAAAGATCGACACATGGCATTTCCCAGCAGGCATCTTGATGTCAAAACATCAAAAACATGTAAAAAATGCAAATCAATTTATTGTCAATCGACTAACTTGATGGTAAAACAACATCAAATTGACCTCTAACTATGATGTCAAAAATCACATCAACAATTTATTACAGATCTGTCCTGTAATAAATTTTTGACTTGCTTTTTTGACATCAAGGTACATGTATTGTAGGAATACAAAACTCATTATAAGTTTAGAATTGAAAGTTTCCAAATGAATAACATTTTTCTTATATTATCACACTTTTTGTGTCATTATCCTGGTGGTCAAAGGACATTAATGAGTGGATGTCGAGGTTTTTACATAAAACAGATTTGCTTTTATTTAATGATTTATTTATTAGATTTTTGTGACAGTTAACAAACCAAAGTAAAAGAGAAAATAACAGTAAAAAAAGAATAATAAAATAATAAAATAAAAACAAATCACACTATAAACACAGTATATGATGTGCATAAACAAATGTCAAAACCAAATGTTACGATTTGCATTTTTGACATGTTTTTTGACATCAATGTAAATTTGATTTCAAGTTGCCTGCTTAGCTATTAGATAAAACAGTCATATCACCCTGCAGCCCAAGACTGGTTACTCACTGAAGCTAAGCAGGGCTGAGCCTGGTTAGTACCTGGATGGGAGACTACTAGGGAACACTAAGTTGCTGTTGGAAGTGGTGTTAATGAGTCCAGCAGGGGGCGCTCAACCTGTGGTCTATGTGAGTCCTAATGCCCCAGTAAAAGTGAAGGGGACACTACACTGTCAGTGGGCGCCGTCTTTCGGATGAGACGTTAAACCGAGGTCCTGACTCTCTGTGGTCATTAAAAATCCCATGGCACTTCTCGTGAAAGAGCAGGGGTGTATCCCCCGGTGTCCTGGCCAAAGTCCCTCTATCGGCCCTTACGATCATGGCCTCCCAATCATCACCTTCCACCGAATTGGCTCTATCACTGTCTCTCCACTCCACCAATAGCTGGTGTGTGGTGAGCGCACTGGCGCTGTTGTCCTGTGGCAGCCGTCGCATCATCCAAGTGGATGCTGCACACTGGTGGTGGTGTGGAGAGACCCCCCCTCATGATTGTGAAGCGCTTTGGGTGTATGGCCATACACAATAAATGCGCTATATAAATACACATTACATTACATTACATACAAAAGAATAATATGTCTGTGTTTAATAAACTTATCATATTTTCTATTTTTATATATTTTTGTGTGAAGGGTCAATGAT